GGTGGTCCCTCTGGTTCCTGGACACTCCATGTTCATGCTTAATGCCACACATTTGTCCATGATGGAACCTCCCGCCAAGGTGTGCCCTTCTTTGTTCCTCACAGCTCAAATTCCATTTCCTCCCCAAACCCTCCCCCTATAGCTTGCATGGATGTCCATGTTTCTGACTTCCTGTATCACTCCAAGTCTGTGTCATTAATTTTTGTATGTAGGTGTATGATGGCATGAACAGTCACAAAATACATTTGTAGTCACCAGTTCATTCATTTTATTTGTGTGTGTCTTGTCTGCCTCCCCCTCAATGATAAACATGGTGTTAAACATGGTGCAATTGTAATATTGGAATACATGAATGGTAGATAATAGTTTTTTTTAAGGTGAGGGAAAATATAAAGTATAAAACTGAGATAAAACACTTCGTTATATACAAGCTGTATATAAGACAAGCATGAAAATGATTTAAATAAAATATTCCTTCGACAAAAATGTATTAAGATCTACTATCTGCCAACAATGTGCTAAGTACTAATGATCCAAAAATAAGTCATAATCCCAAGCCTCAAGGAAAGCATAATCTCATGGAGAAAGCAGACACATAAACAAACAATTATAATATAACCTGGGACCTGTAAAGAGCTGGATATATCCAGGAGAGCTTGGAAGAGAAGGCTTCCTGGAGGAGGTGACGCATGTAATGATTCTCAAAAAAGAGTACTTAGGTCCAGTGAGACTTTAGCAGGGGAGAGAGAGCTTCAGGCAGTGGGCATGGCATGAGCAAAAGGAAGAGGGGAAGAACAGCATGGCATGTTAGGGTGGGAAGGCCAGACCATGGAGAGCCATGTATTAAGAAACGTGAATCTTACCATGTAGATGATGCCATTGATGCCCATTCAGAGGAAACTTCGAAGGGTGTAGAAAGGACAGAATCATGTCTGCATGTGGGAACACCAATGCAGCTAAAAGATGAATTTGAAAGGGATTGGGGTTGAATGCAGAGAGGCCCAGCTGTGGCCCCTTACTAGTAGACCAGGTGGGAGATGCTAAGGGTGTGAATTAAATGACGGCAGTGAGAACTGGAGAAAAGGAGATAAATTCAAACATCACATATGGAGCAAAATTCACAGGATGCAGTGATGCGGTAGCTGAGACAGTCTAGGAAAGAGCATAGGAAGATGGCCCTTATTTCTGGCCTCGAAGACTGGTGAGTAGTAGGTCACCCGCTGCAGCAGAGATGGGAGAAGGGGCCAAGTGTATGCTAGAGGTGGTGAGTTCACTTTGACCATGTAGAATTTGAAGCGCCTCAAGCATTCATTTAAAGTAGTTCTCTAAAAGAGAGAGTGACTCCACGGTACTATCACTCCTGAAATTCATCAGGGACTTCTTTTTTTTTTTTTTTCCAACGTTTTTTATTTATTTTTGGGACAGAGAGAGACAGAGCATGAACGGGGGAGGGGCAGAGAGAGAGGGAGACACAGCATCGGAAACAGGCTCCGAGCCATCAGCCCAGAGCCTGACGCGGGGCTCGAACTCACGGACCGCGAGATCGTGACCTGGCTGAAGTCGGACGCTTAACCGACTGCGCCACCCAGGCGCCCCCATCAGGGACTTCTTTGAAAACCATTATCAAACTGGTTTATCAGCTATATAAACCAACCATGCATTGTATAGGCATAACTCTTTTTGGAGGAAAAAAAAAAGCCACTACCTTAGAATGTGCATTAGTACCTATTTTTCATAAAAGAAATAAAACTATGATATTTTTGGAAAAGAAAGCTACTCCCTATTCACTAGATTTAAGTCATAGTGAATTTTGGCTACTTCCAAAATCAAACCCTCCCTGGGGCTGTGGGAGAGAACATGCCTCAGATCCAAAGGATTTCCAATAGAGCAGTGGCCAAAGTCACAGCAATGTGGATGGATGGGGTATGTAGCCTCCCAAGGTCACTGCACCCATTGGCTAAACTCAGCCATGTCCCTTTGTTTCCATGTGATGCATAAGAAGCTTGTTTCTCTATTCCACAGAATCTTCCCAGAAAAGGGTGTCTTCCTTCTCTCCCAAGACAGACACAAAAGTAGAGCCTTATGTTATCTCTGTTTGCGGAACATCTGGGACCAAACTAAGCTTTGTAAATTTCTCACTTGACTGACCTCTAGACCCTGGGCTTAAGTCTGTTCACGTAGCTCTGGGCAGGAAGATGGGGGCAAAAATAGGAACTGTGAAGACACTATAGACAAAGTATCTTAATCAACCAGCAAGATAGCCAGTCTTTAAAAGGACAGCGTTATAACAGAATCAAAAACCAAATTCCCCAGCCAGTATGCCACAGTTGGCACAGTGTCTAAGTACAGTGTTACACTGCTGAGAATACTTGTCCTCTAGTCCCACAAAAGAACCCCAAACGGGTCTCGTCACTGTAACCTAAACGGAGATCAGAGTTGAGGCAACACAGGAAGTAAATGCCTGGTGACTTAATAACTGTCTCCACACTTTGGCTGGAGGCAAGAAGCTGACTCCAGTCTGGCCATTTCATAAACCCAATAAGCAGATTGGGCTTCACCTGACCTCTGACCCATATATGAATATGTCCTGCTCAAATAACACTCCCTTTTGTACAGTAAGAAATGGCCACAGCATCTTCAGTGAGCTACTCCTTGGCTCAGCTACAACCAGCATGTGCAGCAAAACGGTATCTCTCTGACTTTCTATTTGAGGTCATTTCTTCTTCTTCATTTCTGCCAATCATGATACACTGCAGTTACTCCCGGCAGCTACCAAGGGCATGCAGACAAGAGAAAGGGTTCTTGCAGCTGTGCGCTCACTTCCTCTCCAGGAAGCCACACTGGAAGTGCTGTGGAGGCCAGCCAGAGGCAGTAGTTAGTGTCTCAATGTCCCTGCATGACAGTAAAAGATGCTGAGACATTTCAGCATCAACTTGACAGTGGAGCTGTCTCTTAAGCCATTTGTATAAAGCCCTGTAGGATCTTCTGTCACTTCATAAGAGGAAGAACTTAGCTGATGAGTGGAGCATCTCTTTTATTTCTTTAATTATTACATTCTTCTGGGGCTCCTGGGTGGCTCAGTGGTTTGAGCATCTAACTCTTGGTTTTGGCTCAGGTCATGATCCCAGGGTTGTGGGATCAAGCCCTGTGTCAGACTCCTCACTGAGCATTGAGCCTGTTTAAGATTCTGTTTCTAGGGGTGCCTGGGTGGTTGGTTGTTAAGTTGATTAAGCATCCAACTTCGGCTCAGGTCTTAATCTTGCGGTTTGTGAGTTCGAGCCCCATGTCTGGCTTTGTGCTGACAGCTCAGAGCCTGGAGTCTGCTTCAGGTTCTGTATCCCCCTCTTTCTCTGCCCCTCCCCCACTTGCATTCTGTCTCTCTCTCCCTCAAATATAAATAAACATTAAAAATTTTTTTAAAAAATTCTCTCTCCCTCTGCCTTTCACTTAAAAAAAAAAAATCTTCTCATATTACTAAGAATCATTCCTAGTCCCAGCAGTGGATATATGGAGAATGCACACTCAGGCTCTGCCGACTTAATTTCTGCTTCTGTTTGGATTCAATCCAGCTCCCGGTGGCTGCTCTGGGAGCTGCAAGCAGATGGACAGCCAGAGTCCCCTCCACTCTGACTTTCTCCAGAACCATGTAAGGGTACTTAGGGAAGTGATATGGTATAGTGGTCAAAAGCACAAAGTCTGGAGTCAAATAACTCCTAACAACACCTCTTACAATCTGTAGAACCCACATTATGGGCCTTAACATCTTTAAACCTCTATCCTCTCATGTGTAAAATGGAAATAAAAGTTCATTCATCTTGTGGGATATTTTGAGCATTAACTGAGACAACATAGTTAAAGTACTTAGCACAGTGGTTGAAATAGAGCAGCAATCAATAAGTATCAGCTGTGACAATGATGGCGGTGGTGATGATGATGATGATGAGCTGGGGGAAGAGACATGGGCTAAAGTCAGGGGTACCCAAGAGAAGTAGCAAAGTGCCCAGAATGGCAGGTTCGCTAAACTAAGCAATTAATGGGGTGCCTGGGTGGCCCAACCAGTTGAGCATCTGACTCTTGGTTTCAGCTCAGGTCATGATCTAATGACCCGTGGGTCTGGGCCCCACACTGGGCTCTGCATGGCAACGTGAAGGCTGCTTGGGATTCTCTGCCTCCCTTTCTCTCTGCGCCTCCCGTCCTTGCACTCTCTCTCCCTGGCTCGCTCTCTCTTTCTCTCTCTCTCTGAAACATAAATGAACATTAAAATAATCTTTAAAAAAATAAAATAAAATTAGCAATTAGACTTCCAGTCTGGACCTGAAGTCAATGGGACAATAGCACTTTAGAGACTATGTATGCCAGCCTACAGCACGTTTGCTTTGAGGTGGTTTCCAGAAGGTGACCATTATCTCCTTGTGTGTCAGTTTCTATGTCTGTTTTCCAAGTGCTGGATTGGCCAATGATTGGAATTTAAGCAGCCCTCTTTGTTGAGTAGAAATTCTACGACTGTGATTTTCTGGGAAATTTGTGTAACCCTTAACTCTGCCTTGTTTTGCCCTCCTTTCCACCTGATGCTTCCTTTCAAGTACATCAAACCGTAACCACTTCTTCCCAACAAACAAACCTTGCACACATTCATACTTCCCGAGAAAGTTGTTATTGCAGTGGAATGACTCTAAATAGCTGATTACAATTCCACCATCCCAAGTGGTTGATACCTCTTTGTGGGGCTCACAAATGCCTCTTTGAGCTTCCGGTTGCCAGTTAAACCAGCTATGATTTTATTTAACTTTTTGGTTTTTTTTTTTTTAATCTTTGTGTTATTTCGATTTGTCCCTATCTCATCCCAAAGCAGCACAGCATAGAACTTTCTGACCTGAATTCCCCTCTGAGCTTCCCATTTTGACCAAGTTGACTGTGTTAGTAAGTGTTGGGCACCTCTCCATCTCTTGAAAAATTCATACAGCCTCTTCTTTTCTTGTGCATCTCTTCTGCTTTGCCAGGTCAAGCTGGGAACTACCTGACTTGAGGGAAGGGAGAGTAAAAGCCATCAGTGACTCAGATGGGGTGAGCTACCCTTGGTACGGGAACACCACAGAAACTGTGACCCTCGTTGGTCCCACCAACAAGATCTCCAGGTTCTCCGTCAGCATGAATGACAACTTCTACCCAAGTGTGACGTGGGCAGTGCCAGTGAGTGACAGCAATGTGCCACTGCTCACAAGGATCAAGAGGGACCAAAGTTTCACTACCTGGCTGGTGGCCATGAACACCACCACGAAGGAGAAGATCATTCTGCAGACCATCAAGTGGAGGATGAGGGTGGACATTGAGGTGGACCCTCTTCAGCTCTTGGGGCAACGGGCCCGGCTAGTGGGCAGGACTCAGCAGGAGCAGCCCCGGATCCTGAGCCGGATGGAGCCCATCCCCCCTAATGCACTAGTGAAACCCAATGCCAACGATGCCCAGGTCCTCATGTGGAGACCCAAACGAGGGCCACCTCTGGTTGTGATCCCTCCTAAGTAGAAGCAGACTGGCCTGACTGTGTGTGGAGCACATGACGCTGAGACATGCAGTGAGGCTGCCAGGGGTGGCAGGAGCCAAACTGAGTTTCTGAGCCAAAGCAGACCTCTCGGTTTGCCAGCCTTTGCAGCCACTTGTGAAGAGTAGGGCTGCTTCTTGGGTGGTAGAACCATAATCCTTAGGAAAATTCCCTTCCTTTTAGGAATAAAGAAATCGCTGATTTGACAGACTTGCTGTGATTACCATGCAAGTAGCCATATTTTGGAGCTGACCAAGATGATTCTTTTATCTGAACTATTGACCATTGCTTTCCTGCGAGATGCAGGGGATGGAAACAAAATTAAACAGTGCCTGTGGCAAATGCTGCTTCCCAACCAATTAGAAGTGGGAGTGAAAACATCCACACCAGGTGTTTGTAAGACAGACAGTCCCACTGTCTGACTGGAGGGTGCTGGGGATGGGGGTGGAATGAAAGTCAGGTGGCGAAGAGAATGGGGAGAGAAAGAAATAAGTTGTTATTACAAATTAATACCTGTGAATTTATTGGTAGACCATCAGCTCTTCAACATACTCAGTGGAATGAAAGGCACACTTTAAAAAAACGAGAGATAGAGTGAGATGGGCTCCCTTCTGGAGAGCCTCCTTGGAACTGTCCAAGGTCCTGATGTGAACAGACAGATGGAGACTCTCAATGGTTCCATCTACCCACTTCTTTCCAAAATCTGATCGTTCGGAGTATTCCTTAATCACAATATTTGGATAGATAGTTCCTGTATTCTACAGTAGTTATGATATTTGGGGCCTTTGCCATGTTTTTAGTGAAACCTAATTGCAATTTTGTTTACAGCTGCCTATTCTGTTCCCCGTTTCCAGCCCTAAATTTACAAAAAGATAATTGTTTCTAAACCATGGAATCCATGTAGAATTTCAAGAACATTTTAACAAATAAGAATACTATTTTCATTCCTTTTGTTTTTTTTTTTTTTTTTTTTTTTTTAGTTTCTGAATGATGTGAACATACAGAATGCACATATGTATACACATGCACGCATTCAAACATACACATCAGGATGGAGACAGCATAACTAACACATTTGCCAGCAGTGCCTACCTATGTACTTGTAGCCCAGTACATACGCTTTTTATCTATATATGTTTATTTTAGCTCAATTTCACAGAAGCTCAACTTTAACTGCATGAGCATTTGTGAGAAAGTGCTTCATAATGCTTAACTTCAGAGCTCTTTAATGAAAATATGAGCTGCTCACATTAAGCAAGACTCTATGGCTGAGATCCAACCATCAAGGATGAGAGACCATATTTCCTTTAGCTAGGCCAATCTCAAACATTTTAAAGAGTTTCTAGTCTTTACAGTAAGAATTTTTCCAGCTCTTCTAGCTTCCATCACCCAAATCCCCCAAGCAAAATAATTATAAAACTGCCACAGTGTCATTGTGGATTTTATGGATGGATACCGGCAGCCTAATTTCAGAGGTGAAAGAGTTGAGGGTCAGAGTAATTATTACAGTCCTATGGTTGGCTCCAATGAGATCTTCTCCCAGAGTCTAGGAATGGAGAAGGAAAAGCAAGAGGACTTTTTAAATTATTTTTATTAAAAATGCAATTAAGTCTAATTTCTTTCAGGTTCTAGTCTCAGGGGATGGTGCTTATTTACAAGAGAAGGTTAACAGATCCACTTGAAATCATGTAGTGTTAACCTCACACCCCAACCACCAGCTACTGTCTTATAGATTAGTTATTGATGGCAAGCTGAGCTATTTATAACAGCACATTAATGACACATCAGTGACTCACAGGAGACCTGGAGACATTCCATTTAAAAATAATTCAGCTGTTATGTCTGTCCTTCCCATGCTTCCTTGTTTTTTAAGGGAGCTCCAAAGAACGCCATGGCTGAAATAAAGCTGCTTATTTTTCACTCTGATGTTCAAAACAACTTTTCCCTCTAAATGAATTAGATGTCAACCTTATGGGATGCTAAGACACTGATCCTAGAATCTAACCCACATGGCCCTATCCTAAGAAAACCTAATATTTAAAAAAACCAACATTGTACCAAACAGCTGGTAAAAATGATCACTTAATTACAAGATCCTATACAAAGTTTCTGTTTTTAAATTCCCCTTGCCCATGCATTAAAACAAGATGACTTCCACAATCACGTTTACATATAATGTAACTTTTTCAAGGGTATAGCTGTATAAAGCCAAGGGTAGCATACTTAACTAGACTTGCTCCTGCTGAAAATTCACACTTTTCAGAGTTTGAAAAGAAATGACCTGGCCAGTTTTCTGGAAAATTATGTAATACCAAAATGAGAAAAATAGAGGGGAAAGTGCTTATAAAAGTTAAAAGCCCTTGGGCAAATATACATTATGATTATTGTTGGTGATACCATTGCAAGCTCTGCAGTTGGGTCTCTTGGCTCTGGAATGAGCCTGGCAGAATGCTCCATTGCCCTGCAGCCAATTATTTTAAAGTTATAGTGGTTTTACAAGGAAACAATCCCTTCTCTTTCTCTGATCCTTAGATCATTACCTTTCAGCTTAGTCAGGATATTGTCAAATGAAAGGCTCTCCAACAAGAGAGAATTCACCTTGAAATCTCTACTGGGGTCACATCTTCCCACCCGGCTTTTCTTCCCCTGAGACTCCCTGGGTCTGATACCAGATGCCGTCAGTTTAGAGAAGTTCACTCAGTGCCTTGATCAGGTTTTAGTCGGGAGGTGTCAGGACTATCCTTGGATTCCGAACACGCACATACGCAATGGTTTCTGGTGACACCAGAGTTTTTGATTCCCGTGTGGAAAAGACTCTTTTGTCAGGTCATAGATCTTAAATGTAGTCACCTTTGAGATCCTTTCTTCCATGATCTCACGGAAACTGAGAGTTAAATTAGCTCATCTATTCAGGGTCAGAGACCTAATTAGCAGCAGAGCCAAGAGAAGAGCCTGGGTCCCCTAAATCTCATAGCACAGCATGGTCACACTTACCTGACACCCACAGTCCTCTCCTCGTTTCCATCCCTGAACCATTTACCTTTGTAGCACTAGAGACCATTAAATTCATCCTTTAAAAAATAGGGTGAAATCTTCGTTACAGTTATGTCAAAAACTGAATGTTCCAGATTCCCTTTTATCCATGACAGCTGTTTCAAGATTGAGCTCTTAATCTGGGCCCTTTGCAGCATGGATTTTATATTCCCAGGTCAGTGCTTTAGTGCACAGCACATGAGAAGGCTGGAGGCTGGTCCTCACTCCACCTACCATTCCATGGGCCTTTAATAACTCTCTGTCTCTGGTACTAGGAATGATATCTCAGAGGTCAAAATCATGTTCTAAGCAACAATTCTGAGCAGTAAAATAAAAGAATTATGATTTGTAGAGTATTTTACCAAAGGCTTCCACATGCGTTTTCTCATCCCCAGATAGTCTTAGGAGGAGTGCAATATTGTTGTTGGTATTATTATCCCCATTTTACAGAAAATCCATTGAGATCCAGAAGGGTTAAGTGACTCATCCATAGGCACACAAACAGAAAATGTCAGGAGCTGGGGTTTGAACTGGGCCATTGGGCTCCAAATCCCATGCTAGGACACTCCTGCGCGGCCTCCCCAGATGTTCCCTGCCTGGAGGGCACAAAAGACAAGGAAGCAAAGGAGAAAGCAAGTCAGTTTCACCCACAGTCATGTAGTCTCTACCAGCTACTAAGTGGATGTATTAAAAATCAGAGAACTAACACTGTTTTCTAGTGCAGAGAACCTTGTAATCTCCAGGGAGATTGGCCCAGAAAAATCTCCTGGCCTGTCAGGGGCTGCAGTGTGGGTGAGCTGGCTGTCAGTCGGGAGCTCTCGGCACGGCACTGGTAATTAGTAGAGGAGGAAATCTGCTCTCCTGGTCCCAGAACCCCTTAAACACCATAAGCACAAAAGGAGGAGGAAAGCAGGCATCCTGCAGTAAGGGTCCCAGCTGAGCAAGGGCCTGCCACCCACCATCCCTCAACACGGCAGGAACAGCCCGTGGGGTGGAGGCAGCGGAGACAATGGCTTTCCGAGCTCCGGTTGGCACATTGCGCAATCTTGTTAGAATGGAGGGCACAATTAAACATTACCAGAGCCAGCTCCCGACTGAGTTGCAAAGAAAGATGTAAACACACACACACACACAGACCCACTACACTCACACGCTCCTCGAGCTGAAAAGAAAATTAATCAAAAACCCAATGAACGCCTGAACTCTATAATTAAGCCTAAATGATCCTCAGATAGAAAGGGAGCTGAGTGAGCAAGCTCAGTGCACAAAGATATTTTTACCCCGGAGTCTTATTGCCATTAATTTCTTTTGAGATCTTGAGTACATCTGGTTCCAGTTTCCCTGGTAGGACATCTGCCTATGGAAGACCTTCAGGAGAGTTGCCAGCTCAGTGGCAAGGTTATTGGGCTGTTCCTCCAACACTTTTATGGGAACGCATCTGGGGAGGTGAGTGCCATTGCCCTCCTCGGTCAGCCGTGCTCCCTCCCATAATGGATCATACCACTGACCTCAGTCCCGCTAACAATTCCTCTGAGGTGTACACGGCTTCACAGTTTACAAAGGGCTTTTACGGTCCTTTACATAGAGTAAAAAACATCTCTGTTGAAGATAGGAAATCTGAGGACTGGCCTTATCTTTCTGTCTTTATGATTATTAACAACAATGACTCCCGTTTGATTAGTATGCTACAGTTTACACAGCACGGACCCAAAGATTGTGTCGTTTAGTCTCAACAACCCTATAAGATCTGCTTTATAACCCCATTTTGCAGATGAGGGAGTTGAGGAGAAAGGTCATGTGAGCTGTCCAAGGTCCTTAATATGAGTCATGCTCTGAGGACTTTGAGCTTCAGTCTTCTGGCTCCACACCTTCACTCCATTTCCACGGAAACTTCTCTCCCTCATTAAACACAAGCAGTGTTCTCTGCTTCTCTGGCCACTGCTATTCCTCG